GTAGTGAATGAAAAATGATCTTTCTGAGCAGCTCTAGTCAGCCATTTATCTTTCCCCTTCTGTAACTGTGTACATGATGTACTGGGAGGTGAGGAAATTGTCAGGTGAGGAAATTGTCAGGTGGTGAATGAAGGTGTCTGCCAGTGAGTATGGTTTGGTGGTACCTTGGCCTTGACTTCAGCACGCTGTTATTTTCCATCTTCAGAACAACTCTCAGTGCCAGCATTATAATTCTCCAGTGTCTGTTTTTTTCTGACAATTTTTCTGACCTGGCTTTGGCCCTTCATGTTTGGAAAGATGCCTCAGGGGGCCTCAATCGCATGGACTCAGCATGTGATTGCCTTGCTGTGATGGAGTTTCTGTACCAAGTAGTGTATATGAGCTGAGTGGTTTTGCTTTTATAAATCTGGTTTAGACCTAACATCAAAGAAAATGAGATCATGGCATAGGGTGTTTCCTTGTAGGATGTTGTGTTAAAGAAAATCTGCATTCTATGATAATATTTGCCAGGGTAGTTTCTTGCAGCAATATGAAAAAAAAAAAGAAGTATAAAAGGAAAAAAAAAGGCTGATGTGTCAAGTTGCTGATTTTCATTGACTTATCCTCAGGGAACTGCTATTTTAAGACGCAGAACTCACCCTCACTCCCCACAGGGCTGATAGTACAGTAAGGAAGTTTTCCCGGCCAGCAGAGCTGTAGCCCTGTGTTGTACACAAAGAAAGGAACAATATTAACACATTGTTAGCAAAACCTCTTATCCCTGTGGCTATCGCTAACCTGGCTTGTACTGTGACACATGAGAGGACTAATCAGCTGTTCAGGAATGCAGCACTGGGAAAGGAGTGAGAACACGAGAAGCTTTAAGGCTGAGATAGTCCTGGTTCTCTGCTGATCTCTTCCTCATTTAATTAGTGTCTTCATTGGTGTGCAGTCCTAGTTATGCAGTGAGATCTGTAGTGATCTCTGATGGGTTATGCACTGTCAGAGAAAGTGTATTGTCAGCACTCTGAACATCAGCTGAAATTTCTCATTGTGGCTTTCTAAGAGAGCTGTTCAATTATAGCAGAGGCTTTGTGCACCTTAATTGCTATGTTTCTTGCTCCTTCTAAACAGGGAGGGAGAACAGGAAAGAAAATTCTAGCTCTGACTTTGCTAACTCTGCCCTTTCAGCTTGTCTCATATTGATGCTGATTAGAACAATGGGATCATGAAACCAAAGACATTTAACTTTTGTGACCCAGCATGTTTTGTCTTGATATCAAATAGAGTTTGTTAGTTTAGCTAGAGTTGGTTCAGATTCAGCTGTACCATGAAACACAGACTAATTCTGTGTCAAAAAATACATTGTAAGTTTTTCACCTAAGTGTATAAGAAGCATTCACTGAGCACCTTCAGTCTCTCCTCTCATCTTTCCTCCTGCAGTCTGGGTCTTGGACTCACTGGATGTAACAGGGTCATTGCTATGGCAGCCCAGTTGCAATCTTTGGAGAGCCCTGTGCTACCTTGCAGGGAGCTTAAGAGAGCCTTAAGAGGTATTCCTAGGTGTGTATAGTTTTTGCCTCAGTCACTACTGCTGAGTGATGTCTAGACTTAGGTAGTCATTCGTGCCACGATGCTTCAGGATGCCTGGCATGACTTCCCTATTGATCATTTAATTAATTACCTGCTCCACTGCTCTGGCAGGGTGATCAGACCACAGTAAGTGAGCCCTGGTCTGCCCTTCCTCATTTAGTTTTCTGTTTTTATGTCCTTTCTAAAAGTGCCTGCCTCTGACCTCTGTTTGCTAGCTGTGGTCTGTCTCACCTTTCCCTTAGTTTGTTCCTTCCCTCTTGTGCTCAAAGTCTCATGAGCAATGAAAGGAAAAGGAAAAAAATGAAAACAAAGCAATCTATCCACTTCCATGGAAGTCAATAGGATATCCAGGGTTTGCAAAAGCACTACAAGAACAGACCTATCACTTTTCCTTAAAGCTTGAATATTCAGCTAGTAATGTTACAGCAGAGTGAGCAGGTACACTTGTGAATTACATACACAGAAGAACATACCTTGACTTAAACCAAGTTAACATCAAGAGCCATTTCTCAATCAGTTTAATTTGCTGTGAATCTGAGTATTGAGTTATTACTTTGTCTTTTGCAAAAGCAGAAGTTGTTCTGAGAGCCATTTTGCCATTATAAGAAGGAGGCAAGAAAAGAAGCTAGCTGCAGCAATCCTTTCTCTCGGGCAGATGTTAGAAGTCACATTTAACATGTGCAAATATTTCAGGAACAATTTTACATTTTACTTTATGAACATCTTTAGTTTTTGTTTTTGATGGGCTTTAACCTAGGTGCAAATATAATAGATATGTTTTGAAGCATCTCAGACAGCTTTTGGAACTGATCAGCAGAGCTGCTTCTCATGTGGTGGGCTATTAATATTTGGCATGAAGTCTGCTGCATTCCTTTCACCTGTCCATTCAGCTCTTTGGCTAACAGGTCACTAACATTTATTACTTAACAGACTGGAGAAGAAAATGAAAACACTGGTCATCTTTCTCGTTTTGTTTCCCAAAAAGCATGCCGTTCCCCTTCCTGGTGTCAGTTCTGAGAAAATCCACTTGTTCTCAGTGGGTAGCTGGATCATTTTTTAACTGGCCAAAAAACCTGACCTATGTAAGCTTTTTAAAGCTTGCACTTTGCAGAGGCTCCTATACCTGTTGAAGGTCAGTCACCAGCTCAGAATCTGGTTATTACTTAAGCGCCTGTTAATGTGAGTTTGCTGGAAAGCAACGTTTTGAAGTGGGAAATACCACAGTCCATCACATACTGCCCATCCTGTTGAACTAAGTATATTATGCAGTTATGTGCCCATACATGTGTTCACACACACAGTAATATATAAAATCTATATGTATATATGCATATAAATAAGTTTACAAGGGCATGTAGACATAGGAGAAGGGGGAATGGCTTTAAATTGAAAGAGTGGAGATTGAGATTAGATATTAGGCAGAAACTCTTCCCTGTGAGGCTGCTGAGGCGCTGGCACAGGGTGCCCAGAGAAGCTGTGGCTGCCCCATCCCTGGCAGTGCTCAAGGCCAGGTTGGATGCGTCTTGGAGCAACCTGGTCTAGTGGAAGGTGTCCCTGCCCATGGCAGGGGGTTGGAACTGGAGGAGCTTTAAGGTCCCATCCAGACAAAACCATTCTGGGATTCTCTGATATAAATAAACTCTCTCTTGTTAGTTAATGCACAGTTAAGTAGCATGTTGAACGTACAGTATATGAAAAGTATTTTTCTCAAAGACTTTTTTTTTCCCCTCCTTTTTTTCAGACATTGCCATGGGATTTATGGACGGTAAGCCTGACTTTCATCATTGTGAACTGGGATATTTCCATGCCTCTGATTATGTAAACCACTAAACTCAGATTTGCAGTGCTTTTACCAGAAAAGATAAAGAATATATATAAGATAAAGAATTTATAGACTGTGACAAATACTTTCAAGTTTATGGAGCCACAGGGGATCTTTTAAAACCAACAACATTAAAAAATAATCTCTCTTGCTTGGCCTACAAAACCCCTAAATGATGTCAGAAATCTAGGTTAATAAGATTCACAATCAATATAGCAAAGCGTGTGCTGCTTTTACTCTCATGCTTAAATTACAGCTACTACAGGGTAGGAATGTATGCTACTCACTTGGTTCAGTTATCTGAAGGTGTAGTTCCTCAGGACTTTACCCCAGTGGACAACCATTTGCTCAAGATTCAGGAATGAAAAGAGAATTTAACTTGCCTTTGTGGGCATGCAGTGAAGTGGAGTTACTCACAAATGAAGCTGCAGCTCTAGGAAACTTCATGAATCCTTCCTTTTTTCTCTCAATGTCAAATCAGATGCAATAATCTGCAGGAAGAAAACAACTCATTTTTGTGAGCTTTCTTATGACTTTATGTCATGGAGATAGCGGGGTTGACTTGACATGTACCCTGGTACATTCATTTTTGACCTTTTGCAGCTTCAGCCAGCACAGAAATCTACGGATGCTTCTCATGCATTCACATTTGTAGCACTGGTTTGCGAGCACACAGCGTGTGTGATGTGTATTAAATGCTCATCTTTTTCTATTGGGAAAGGTTAAATAGAGCCTGAAAAACAAGTCACGCTTGTAGGCTAGCCAAAATTTCAGGGCTGCCAATATCTAGACCAGCTAAAATAACCCATAAATGTTTCAACTATATTGCTCTAAACTTACGTTAGATAGCTTTATCAGTGTCTTTCGTTCACACAGTTTTATTAATAAATATTAATTTAATATTATATATGTATTCTGTATTGCAATTATTTTCCTCTTTGCTCTAGTCTAAAAACAGTAAGTAGTGAGCTTCACAGCTGAATGCTTGAAATTAGGGATACTCAGCCATTTACTGAGTTTCTCTTAATAGGTTGAATACAGAGCAGTTGTTGATCTTGCCTGCAGCATTTGTGTCTGTTCAAAGTGGCAGTGTAGACAGCAGTGGAAATGCCTCTGCATGGCACAGGGTGATGGAGAATCGAAGGAGCTGCATGTGCAGGGCCCTCTGCACTGCTTGCAGTGATGCCTTGGTGTAAATACAAGTAAACCCCCCTGCCACTTGTGTTGTTTCCTTCCTTGATCACTGTCTCCCAGAGCAACCCCTTTTTTCATTTGAGGTGTACTAGGGTTTTTGTGATCAAAATGTCAGTGGCTCACAGAGGAAAGCAAGGAGTGATAAATATTCATTACACATGTAGATCTTTTATAATGTAATATGGAAGCATGGCTTAAATTCAGGGGCCTGGCATTAGTCTCCTGTGGAGCAGCAAGAGAGGACCCGCTGCTCTTTCCCCACACCAGTTTGGGACCTGCTGCTGGTTAGAGAAGTGATAATTAATGAACTGCTGCTGTAACAAAGTACATCGCGTTCTTCTTTCTGTGTTTTATACGTGTGATTTTCTTCTCTACAGACAAGCAGCGAATTGGTGCAGCCGGTAAGCAAACCTCCCCTCAGAATTGCAACACTCTAGAGACATGCTTTAATCAGTGTGGTGTGATACATAGTTTTCTGGTTTTGTCTATCAGTGCTGCTCTTTCACATTGCAATCTATTGCCTCCAGATGTTGCAAACCACCTAGCTTTTCCTAAAATGGCTTAATTTAGTCACTTGCATTCTTTAAATTAAAATTGCTTTAGTGAAATATGAATTTTGTGTTTTCTCATCAAGTCCGCCTTTATCTTTTTCATCTTGTGTTTTTTCTTTGCTTTTCTGTCTGCTTAAAGCCTGATTCTTCAAAAAGTCTTTCCCTGTGTAACCTGGTCATGGAGGAAGCCCCAAACAGTGGGTCATCAGAAGATATTAACAGAACTCAAACTGATCTAGGTTCACTCAACTGGGGCCTAGATGTTAGCACACCCATTGTCAGCCAGGAAGTTACTGCAGGCGGTTCTTTGCTTTTCCCTGGGGCAGAGCAAACCTCAAGCGAATCCACGGGTACTCTGCCTGCTAGTGTTTGGCCTGCTGTACAGAAGCAGGAGGATGCTGCTCCAGGGTCAGCGTCTGTAAACGAAAACCAGAGGACTTCACTGGAGGACCAGTTGGATGCCAGAAATGTCCCATGGGAAGATGTGGTGACCAATCAGCCTTTAGAGAACATAACCAGTTTTGAGACACCCATCCTGGGAACTGATAGCTTGTTGGATGAACCCCTCCCATGTGATGTGCAAAAGGCAGAGGAAGAGCGGGAGGAAGACGAGTGGGCAGGTGTCAAGCCAAGTGAAAAGGTAGAGACCAGAGCTGTTAACTACGAGGAGGTAGAAGGTACAGAGGAACTGGAAGAGCAAGGTTGCAAAACCAAGGGAAACAATGAGGGAGAACTTCATGAGGTTTTAGCAAAATCAGATCTAGAGTTAGAAGATAATGATGGGGATGCTGAGAGAGTTGGTAGTGCTAACCTAGAAAACCCCAGGGAAGAAGAATTCAAATGGGTCAATGTCATTAAGGAGAAAGATGGAGAAATACCATTGTTAAGCACAGGGCTGGAGGATGGGGACAAAATAGTAGTGGATAACTATAAAACTATAGAAAGCACTGGTGCTGAACCTGAGGGAGTCTTTGGTATCTGGGATCAGGACCACCAAAGGACATTTGCAGATGGTTTAGACCAAACTGACAGTGGTACTAGAGAGAGTACATCCATGGAGTGTGTAAAAATGAGAGTACATGTTGACCTAGAGGTAACTGACCACACAGAGAAGGACCTTGCAGATACTGGAAACATTCTGTGTGATGCAGAATTACTCAGTGCAGAAGAATCTGGTAAAGGAACTGAAGACAATAGCATCAGCCTCTTCACAAATGGTAGTGCTGCTGCTGAAGGACAAGGTGCTGCTGAAAAAGAGTGGCCATTGCTGCCTGAGGCAGCTGATGCTGCTAGCAAAAGCTGTGGTAATCCTTGCCTAGATAACGCAGAAGACCAAGTGACAGATAGGGCAGCAGCAGCAGTAGCTGAAGAGCATCCTAGTAGCGGTGGTGTTCCTGAAGCCTTGGAAATGGACCCCTGGCTGGCGAACTGGGATCCAACAGTTACTCATGATTCCTGGGGTTTTTCTAATGTGTCAGATGTCCAAGCCAATGGACTGGATAATTGGCCCTTTTTCCCCAAGGACCAAGACTCAGAAGAAGGTAACATGGAAAATGTTTGGTTAGGCATTAGTGATAAATGGTCTACACAAGACCTAGGAGGTACTGGTACCAGCTGGGGAGAACTAGGTGCAAGCACAACCAATAGAATTCAGGAGACACCAGTAAAACAAGGCTTGTCTGGGGAGCAGGCAGGCATTAGCAGTCCTGGACCAAGCAAGGAGATAGCTAGACCCTTGTCTCTGTTTCAAATGGGAAATTCCAGAAATGCTAGCACCGAGAGTTCAACTAGTCCTAAAGACAATGAGACCAACAACTCAGATTTATCTGAAGATGAAATTGCTAACCGGAGATATGGATTGTTGTACCAGGAAATTGAGGCTGATAAAGAAGAGGTACCTACCCCAGTGTGTAGCCTAGTCTAGACAAAGAGTTCCTTAGGTCATGCATAACCTTGTCATTTAAAAACAATCCGTGTGTGTTTTTCCCACTGCCTGTCCTAAGCCCGTGCTACTCTTTTTCTTTGGAAGCTGCCATGCAACTGTTCATAGTGTGGTGCCCTTCAGCCATGCAGTGAAGCAGGCTGACAAAACTGCATTTCTAAACAGGGAATGAAGCTTTGAGCTGTGATGGCACATCGTGTCTCACAGGTTTTGTGTCTTACCTGTAGAACTTTAACAGCACCTAGTCCTTTTTGGTTTCTTGTTTTATAGAATTGCTTAAGTTACTCTGCTTTTTGGTTTTGTTGTTCTCTTTAAGCCTGTGACGCCTCTTACCAGCTAGCACTGTCATCAAGTTTCTTGCTGCCTTACCCCTCATTTTATTCTTTTTTCCCTTTTTTAATGTCTGGCCTACATTTTTATTGTGCAGATAAAAATGTTTTGACTCCTGTTCTGCTTCAGTAAACAAATGATAATTTGTTCTGATCTTCACTTCTACATAGGCATCCAGCACAGCATTTAATGGATTTGCACAGGTAAGAAATAAACATGCTTTGAGATGTATTTTTCCTGTGCTGGTAGGAAGGGATGTATGTGCAGTGCGGCTGTACGTATTCAGGAAATGTGTTGTACAGACAAGCTGCACAGCAGGGTCGTACTGACCCCAGTCCAAACCCTGTCCTCAGAAAATATTCCTGGATATTACTGGAATGATGCTAATACTCTTGGTACCCTGGGCCTGGCTGAATTTAGTAGCAAAAATCTGACTACCTCAGTGGGACTGATTATTTACCTCCCCAAAGGACTGCTTTAGCTTTTTCTTATTGTGCTCTTTTGGGGCTTTGTCTCACAGTTCCAAACTCCTGTAAAGCGTGGGTTCTTCAGTTTCACGTACTTTCAGCAACTCTGTATATATAAAATGAGTTTTGTTTCTGCATCTTTGTTTTCATTGAAGATATATTTGAATCTGAAAGTTAAACCTTAATTATTTGTTTGTTGCCATGCTGATGGTAAGACTCAGACATAACAGAGATACAGTGCATGAAGATACCATGTTTATGCTTCCATATTCCTTATTCTAGGGCTGTGCCAAGATCCCAAATTTCAGGTGGATAACCTGAGGCCTCATTAATTTCCAGCATCCTTTTAGAGACTGGCTCATCCACAGCACACCCTGTACTCCAGTTTTAAAAGCACCCAAAGAGGCTGAGCTTATACAAGGATGGAAATGAGTTTTCCAGTGCTTAACCATTCTCCTCCAGAGCATTTAAATTAGTGGATCAAAGGGGCAAAAAGCCAGGCAAAGAGCCACTGCTGATAATCAAGGCAAAATGTTTGCCCTGAGGGAATCAAAATCTGATGCCCCCACTGTAGTATGAAAAGGATTTGGCCAGGGATATTTTGTAGATTAACTGGTTCTGAGTAAGAAGTTGGAAAGCATCTCCATTCTTGTATCTTCTGAATGCAGGTAAAATTTTGCATCTATAATTACGTTACTAACTGATGAAATAAGAGCCCAGCATCAAGAGCATGTGAAAGGATCTTGGAGTTAGTGTACTCCCCAGGCATGGGCACATGTAGTCTGCAAAAAGGATTCAGAGTTTTACTACTTAAAACTCCATTGTGTCTGAAGCAAAGCCCTTGCTATCCACATATATTAACTGAAGGGGGTTTCACTACCTTTAATAACATTGCACGGTTTAGAAGTATCGAATGTATAACTGAAAAAGGAATGTCTTTAATGTTAATAGTGCTTCACTAATAATAATTATTAATATCTATTTAGATTGTCATCTTTTACTCTATGTGAATTTACTTATGAGTTTACCTGAATTAACCATTAAAATATCAGATCTTTGATTGACACCTGCAAGCATCCTGACTCAAATATTTTTGCATCATTGTTTTTCATTTCTATATCTAGGATACCTCTGCATTTACAGTGCAATCAAATGAGAATGTGACAGAGCCTTTGGTAAGTGGTGGCTTTTGCTTCCTTTTTAAGTACCTTGTAAAAACCGGCACCATTTTTCCTTTGTGCAAAGGTATTTTCTCCTTTTTGAGTTTTCCATCCTCCAAGTCACAAAACCTTAAGCTGGATGAGTTGGTGGCTGATGTTGTAAATCATTGCTCACTGAAACAGTCTTGCACAAGGATAGCACAGAGAAAAAGAAAAGAAAACCAGGATATTCTAAGCTATATTAACTTTTCAAAGGGGCAGTCAAACAGTTTGTTCATTTATTGCATGTAAGAAATTACAAGAACGAGTACTATGGTCCCAGTGTACAGCAAGCAGGAGATAGTACCTGATGGCTGTTTAAATGTCTGTAGTATTGTTATAGTTTCACCCATTCTCCAGATACGAATATAGGCATGGTCCCCTTGTAAGGAGTGGAGAGTCTTTCTGGAAGTGATCATGCTTGGGCAGTTTTAGTTTCTCTTACAGTCTTTGGTTAGCCTGGAGTAAGGATGTGGAATAGCAGCATTGCTGGGCGAGTGCTATAGCTACTTAATAGCAGCAGAGTGATGCTCAGTATTATTTAATGTGGCTTTTGTATAATGCCTCTGGTGGTACTTGTGTTCATAACGGTTACTGAATACAGCGAGATATTTGTACTGGTAGCTGAAATGTGATAACTAGTCTGAAGACTGCTTGTCAACAAGTGACTTTAAGAACATCAGTGCAATCTGCATTATAGTGTTACCTGTGATTTTAAGCCTGAAAGTTTCTTCCAGGATTAAACCTCAGGAAGCTCATTAATCATCTTACCTGGGATAAATATACTTTGTGTTTCTCATTTCAGTCCTGTTTCTTCTTTGTGAAATTCGCTAGAGCTAGCATGAATACACTATACAGATTGATTTCTGCACAGCATGGTATAATATAATGAATGTTTCTTTATGCTGTGGCAAATCCTGACGGTCTTGCTTAGGCAGACTTCCCTGTACCTCATTAAAAATCAGGCTGCTTAAGGAATATGTGAGGAAAAAAAGTGAGAGGCTATGGGATTCTCCCTGAAAAATACCATTGCGAAGAAGATTTTAGTGTCTTTAAGAGTTTTGTGGAAGCTATCTCTTCATCACAGGAGACCTTCTAGCCAGCTGTCTGTTTATCAGCTGCAAAGCAGTTAAATAGCTTTTGAGCTTCCTATTGTGCTGAACAATTTCTTCATGGCAAATTAATCTACTGGGGTTATTTTATCTGTTTGAGTCAGCTGTCTTTTATAAATGGAAAATGCTGAGCACAGCTTGCAGCTCTCCTCTTGTATGCATGTGTATTTGCAAAGTGATGTCTCCACTGGAGATCTCACTTTTGCTGTGAACTACTTTGCCACAGGACTGAACGTGTGGCAGGGCTGGTGATATCTGTTAGATCTTGCTTTAAAAGAAAGCCTGGGCCACAATTTAAAAGGGTGGAATTCCCAATACAGGGTTGATAAATGGATGCATTGAGAGCTCAAGAGGGAATGCATTTTAATAAGAAACCAGGGATGATTTTCACTGCTAGAATTCCAGCAGTCAGTGGTTGCTCTTGTTCATACAAAAACTGTTTGAGTCTCTGTTAATTGCTTCTTATCTTCACTGGAGGAGGGGGTATATTGTCTGAGAACAGACAGACCTAGGGAATAGGGGGTAATTAAAGAACTTATGTTTGAAGCCCACAGTTGGTGCACATGAGTGCCATTTTCAGCTTCTGGCCTTACCTTCAGGTTCTGGAGAATTTGAGTGCCTTCCCCCCAGTTCCATCACTCCTTTCTGTACCACAGGAAGCTGATGCGTTCTTTCTGTGTGAGGGAGGGATGTAGGACTGGCTCAGTTTACATATTGAACAGAGAGGATGAAAATGCCCTTTAGATGCTGTCAGGCCAAGCATGGTTGTCTTCTCCCTGGCAAAGTCCAGTGAGATTGAGCCTGAAGCAGCGTTGTGCCAGGCACAGTTCCCATTCCCCTCCTCCCTCTCCATTATAATGTACTTCTCAACAATTTTTCCACTGTCTACTTAAAAATCCATAAAACAAAAGACTGAGGCTGAAGAAGCTCCACCTGGGGAAACCAAGGTTGAGGAAACCCCTGCTGCTGCTGCTGTGGAGAAGGAGGCTGTCCCTGCTGAGCCTGCAAAGCCAGCAGAGCAGGCTGTGGTGAGTGACCTGTCCCTCATGCCACCTCCTGAGCCTCATCCAAGCCACTTTCCATCATGGTGGATGTGTCTGCTGCATTTCAGCCACCCTTTCCATCATCACCATCCATCCATGGCTGGTTTCCCCAGCACTGGGCTGTGTCACAGCATGCCTTTCCAGTATGCATCTTCCTGTCAGCCCTGAAGTGTAATCCTCTTGTGTTTGGCATTTTGCTGAGTGGTTGTGGTTTCACAGATTGTTTGATTCCAGATGAACTTCAAAAGGAGAAAGAATTGATGCCATGTTTAAATGACCTTATTAGCAATTTTCTCATTTCAAGCTGAGCACTAAGCCAATGTACATATTGTATGGTCCTTGCTAAAGCATGAAAATACCAGAAAAAAAGTAATTGTAATATAAGTTACCTACAAGGTTCATAGTTTCAGAAGCCAGCCATGATCTGAAGAGGGAACTCCATTACCAGTTTGGAGATTTTTACATGTCAGCCTTCAGGAGAAAGCCCTGTGGTCTATGGAAACCAGGCTCTCCCCTTTCCTGTGTGGTTTCTTTTCAGTTGATATAAATCACAGCAATAGCTTGTCAACTCCATAGTAAGGCAAAGAATGAAACTGCCTGTCTGAGGCACGTTGTTTTGTCAAACTCTTGTCCAGAATGCCTCGTGTCTAGTCAGAGTAAATCTGATAGTTCGGAATAAAGGAGGAGGGACGGAGGGGAAATCAGTCATTGGTTTGGAGCCCTCGTCTTCCCCTGAGTGAATGGCAGGGAATAATGTGGAGTGACAAATATTAATGAAGCTGAAAAGGTTATTTCCAGATGGCTTTATTCTCCTCATCTGTAAGGATTTAAGGAAGAAAAAAGTAGGGTTTTTTTTTCTTGTCTGCTTGTTTTGCTGGGATTTTCTTCATTTCTTTTTAAATATGAAGTTGTCTTTGCTGATTTGGGAAAATAAGCTAAAAGTGTTGGTTTTAAAATGTCTGAAATGGAGTCATTCTGCATTTGGCTCTGAGGGGCTGTTATTTCAGGAAGGGCTTTCCAGGACTTGCAAAGAAGAGTTTTGAAGATTAGGATTAATGACAAATAAGATCAAAGCTAAGGAAAGTACAGAGTTGCAAAGGATGAGAACATGTCATTTTTCGACAGTTCTGCATTCGTTTGCTTCAAAAGTGACAGTTTATTTTAAAAGTGGACTTGTAAAATATTGATAACTCTTTCTGGGAATCTTTGTTCAAGTTTGGTAACTTCCAGATTGGACTGGCAGCCCCTAATCAGTTTAATTTTTCTGTGGTAAGTTTCCTGTCACATCTCACTAGTCCAGGAAGTTTATAGTATGCAGTCTTCATTGGGAGAGCTTCACAG